AATTGTGTGTGCGTGTGCGTGTGCGTGTAGACAAAGAGAGAGAAAAAGACAATACCCACCATTAGGCCATTACCCAGCATCTCTACTCTTCCCCTTTCTCTTATGAAGTAGCTCAAGCCAGTGATACTTTCTCCCTTTCTCTTGGTGCAGCACGTTGTGTTCTTGTTGTGGATCCCCAGCAGCTTCCTGCAACAATTACCACCAAGGCAGCGATCGAATGGCAGTAGAAAGAGAGGAAGAAATGGACTGTAGAAAGAGAGGAAGAAATGGAGTGGAGAAGAAGAAGGGGACCGATTAGATTTAGGGCAAAATTATGAAATTTTGAGCATTTTATAGAAATGACAATAAAACTTGCCAGTTTGACAAAACCATCCGGTTCACGATTTTTTGTCAAAAATCGGCCGGTTTAACGGTTTTACTCCGGTTTTATTGCCTAAGTGGTCCAATTCAAAAATTGGACCAGCTAAGGTCCCGGTTCACAGTCGAACTGATCGAACTGGCCGGTCCGATCCGGTTCTGATAACACTGTAAGAAATGACCCAAAATCCTAAAGTAATAGAAGCAAAATGTCCAACAGTGGAATAACCACCTCGGATTCGTAGGATCTAGAGTTGAATAAGAAACCTAAGGAGAGAGAAACAAAGAAAGGAGTAAGACAGAGGACATATCGAGAAATCAAAGACAATTGACGATTGAGAACCCAAGGGGGCACCAAGGAAGAATAGAGCAAGATTCAGAAGACCTCAGAATGATTTGAGCATTCACTGAGATAGTCTAGATAATAGGAAAGGAAAAGAAGACAAAATCGTAAAAGACATAGAGAGAGAAAGGTACTTCTGGATAAATGTGCAAAGAAATTCGAAAAGAAGGAAAAAGTTGGAACAAAGGGGCCTTTTTGGTAGTTTTACCTTTGGAGGCATTTAAGACACATGTACAGTTGGACATGTAGCACAAAGACAATGAACATGTGCGACAATTGAGGCAAGAATGGCTCCTCGCATGCACGTAACACCGAAACACCGAAAATCCTGGAAAATGTCCCATTGTGTGCCTCCCAAGTAAAAACTGAGGTTGAGCTTGCCCACAATAGCACAGGTCATTCCCAATCCACGCCATGCAAGACTTACCTAGCTAGGGATTGAGGGACAACTAATGATATCAAAAATTAGCCAAGAATAAGCTTGGACCTCCTAGCTCGGACATCTTAACTTAGACCTCTCAGTTCATGATCACTAGCTTAGGAGGTGCAGGTTGGGAATCATTATTGGCGTTACCCTCGTGCACACGGGGATAGCAATAGCTCACACCTTCTAGAAGGTCACGTCATGCCTAGAGAATATAACCTCTAACGGCCAAACATTTCGGCACATGAGATATAACAACCTCAAGGGGATTACATTGATTATGTAAGAATCGCGTTGGTTACGGGAGGATCACAGAGATTATGCAAGACAACTATATACTATAAATAAGTATCAAATCCCTCACATTGTGATCAATCAAACATCTATGCCATTGACTCTGTGAAATTCTGTAATCTTTTTCCCGAGTAATAGAAAACTCCTCTGAGAATAAGAGACTCCATTAAAGTGGACTAACGAAACTTTCAAACTGATAAACCACTATAACTTCTCAATCTATTGATTTTTGNAAATCCTGGAAAATGTCCCATTGTGTGCCTCCCAAGTAAAAACTGAGGTTGAGCTTGCCCACAATAGCACAGGTCATTCCCAATCCACGCCATGCAAGACTTACCTAGCTAGGGATTGAGGGACAACTAATGATATCAAAAATTAGCCAAGAATAAGCTTGGACTTCTTAGCTCGGACATCTTAACTTAGACCTCTCAGTTCATGATCACTAGCTTAGGAGGTGCAGGTTGGGAATCATTATTGGCGTTACCCTCGTGCACACGGGGATAGCAATAGCTCACACCTTCTAGAAGGTCACGTCATGCCTAGAGAATATAACCTCTAACGGCCAAACATTTCGGCACATGAGATATAACAACCTCAAGGGGATTACATTGATTATGTAAGAATCGCGTTGGTTACGGGAGGATCACAGAGATTATGCAAGACAACTATATACTATAAATAAGTATCAAATCCCTCACATTGTGATCAATCAAACATCTATGCCATTGACTCTGTGAAATTCTGTAATCTTTTTCCCGAGTAATAGAAAACTCCTCTGAGAATAAGAGACTCCATTAAAGTGGACTAACGAAACTTTCAAACTGATAAACCACTATAACTTCTCAATCTATTGATTTTTCTTTGTAACTACTTAACTCCAGAATCAATTGTTCAACCCCCAAGAACCCAGAAGCTTTGACTGGATATCCCAATAAACTCCCATCAATGTCCTTAACAAGATCCCCAAACCAATCACCTCTGCTCAACTGCGCAAAACACACCATCAAAGATGATACTTAATAACCTTTAATTTTTGCCTTTCATATCACGGCGAGCCATCTTCACGTGTTAATAACTGTTTACTCCATCTGACATCAACAAACTTAGAACGTAACAGCTGACTTGTTTTGACATCAAACTTATAATTACTGTCCTCCCATGCACTTGCAGATTAGATTACAAGAACTGGAATTTGGATTTAAGTAACACTACCCTAATGTCATTTCTCCGTATATTGGTTACTTGTATTGATGCTTTTCATGTGAAGGTGTTGAAAATAGTGAATGATTCATATTTATTATGGTCAAAACGCAATGTGCTTCTAGCCTCTCGCTTAATATTTATCCGGTATCTAAGTTTTATCGAAATGGGTTGTATTAGATTTGTTGTATCTAAGTTTCACTTGACTCTACTTGGATGCTAGTATAGTGAAATAACTATTTCTGTAGATCTAGATATAATTTCTATCAAACCACATAAATCTCATGTTATTATGCTTGTTTGTTTGTTTTCTTGATTGTTCACGACTTACCAGCAAAACTAAAGAAGAAAAGTCCAAAATTTCCGGATTCATCCCGCATTTGATAATGTTTTGACCATCATCATCGAGTAGGAACAAATCTTCATACTAAGTTGATCATTAAAAAAAGAAAAATTATAATACAGGCTGCTGTTGTCATATTCTACCCCATTAAGGGAAAATGTTAGCAGAAAGCATCCAAAACAGTAAGCATCGTAAGTGACCATTTTTCCAAGTACCTTGGTTTTTTTTATCGGTGTCAAATAACAAAATGAATAATGTGGCCTACAAAACCTAATTTGGGCCCCTAGTGATGTTCTACTGTGACTTCTAATATGGCAATGGCAGCCAGAATTGAAAATTTTACATCTACAAATTTCCAGCAACATTGTGCAAGCACTTTTCATTTGAGGTTCAATTACTTTAAAAAGTCTGCATAGATAGTTGGAAGACCCATAAGTTGGTTAACTAAACACCGTCTACAAAGTGGTTTGAGAAAATAAAGTGATAGAGAGTCTTATCTCTTATCTTGCAAAGATTGATTCCCAAATTCAAGTACACGGACACACATGGTATAATTTGAAGAAATGAATACTAAACACCTTGTTATATACAAATGTGAAGCCTTTAACCAAATGTAAAATTTGTGAACAATATTAACACAGAACTTGATAGAGACTTCCATTGGCAGAGAATGATTGAAAGAGGAATTTTTGTTTTTGGTTAGATGACTTACACATCATGAAAAATGGTTAAGATATTTAAAAATTGGACTATCAAGCAACTCAAATGATGATTTACTGCTACCAATAAGCAACCATAGCTATCAAGCCACACTTTTTCTACCCCCCCCCCCAGGGTCATTAAGATGAGTTGTTACACACTTTAATCTTGGTTGATGGTACAGGGTTATTAATCTAAAGTTTTAACCTCCGCATTAGCATTTTCCCACTTAAAAAAGAGTAAGTCTAAAACGTGACATACATATTACATTTTAATTACATCTATTATGACCTTTTAGTGAGTAAGGTGGGATTGGATCGAGGTCTAGCGGATACAATTTGCCTCAATTTTCATTTGTGATAGATCAACATGCGTATCGATGAGACCCACTTCCATATAGTGAGTTCAATTTCAATTCATAGTATGTAACTTGAAGTTGAAGAAACGTATAATGGATGGAATTCAAATCTGATGGATTAGGAAGAGGATTGTTGTTGAATCAAACAATCTCCAAGGATCAAGACCCACATCCTCATCCCACGTTAATCATGCAAAACAAATACAGTTTCAGATTCACGCTCTGCCTAATGTTATTCAACAGAACAGATAGAAACTTTATACTCTCATGTTGTCATCTTCTACACTATTAACGGCAAATGACAGCAAAAGGGGTCCAAACTGCCAAACATTGCGCAGCTTCCATCCAAAAGTGAACATTTTTCTAAGTGCTTTCTGTTTTCTCAGGCCAAAGTACTTGAAAAAAGCTAATGGAAATTGATAAGATCCATCAACTTCATGCAAGTTCACTGATTTTACCATTCGGTAAAGTTGGTGCATTGTTGTTGCGCGTACCGACCTTCATTAGGTGTCCCCGACTGAGCTTAAAAACCAGACTGGTGTCTATCCGCCGGGCTAGTCTCCTGTTCGAGTAGGTTTTGGGTACGCAAAATTTAAGCGAGTTGAGGTTAATTAATGTGAAGATCAAGAATCTCCAGATTCTAATAGAGCATGAATGTTGGGAGAGATGAGTTTAGTATTTTTTGAAATTCGAAGATTGTTACAATTTTCTTTGGCTCATGGAGAGTTTGACAGCAATTTTAGAGCAGAAGACAGAGGAAAACATCAACCATACAAAACTGAATGAAGCTTGTCTATCTGAGAATGACAAAATTAAGCATAAAAGGATCAACATCTTTGCTAAGTAGCATATCAACATATTGTCTTCTGGCCCCATATGAATATCTGCTAACCTCTTACTCATATCTTTCATTGGTAGTTAAATTGATTTTATTTCCATAAATAAAGAAAAGATATTACAATGAAGCTCAAAAATGCCCACAAGGGCACTGAACAAATCATAAGAAGAATGCTCAACGCCATCACCTAGTCTACGCAAGAACAAAAACTCTCACAACCCGAGAGGCCAGGTGAACAGTAGTACTATTGCAGGCACAGCCCAAGGGGTCTACTCTTATCTGACAGTTGATAGAGCCTGCTAAAGTGAAGCATTAAAGAAATTCTTCAGCCTAAGGTATGGTTAAGGTGAGATCACCAGGACTCCATCAAATAATGTTCTGTACAATTTTGTTGTGTCCTTACAGATAGAAGTGATCATAGCAACAAAAATCCAGAATAAAGGCAAACACTCTCAAAGAAAGAAAATTTTTTTTTTTTTTTGCACAAGCTCAAAGAAAGAAGATAGATAGAGACTGATGAAAATGAAATCTGTCCGTGCCTGAATTGTGTCTTTTATTCTGTTATTATTATAAGCGCGAAAGCAATTTTTTGATATAAAAATAGAAATCAAAATGATTCCGAGCAAGATCACAATTGACCAAATCCATAATCAGACCTGATACACAACCAAATAACTTGGCTCACAATCACAACTTGGCTCTGCATTTTCTTCCCCTTCACTATCATTGAATAGTATCATAGCTTCACTCCGAGGTTGTCATCTTCTTAGGCCACGGACTCTAAATGTTCCCGAAAAACTTCCAACATGTCAGAAAATGTAACAATTCCAGCCAAGGTACAATCCTCTTCGGTGACCCAAACATAATTCACACGGTATGCAATCGCCTGAATCATCACTGCCACTAGAGAACTCCCTGGATGACACACTATGGCCTCTCCCCTGTTTACCATCCTTGCCGAGTAGCTACTAGACCTACTATACCTCCCTGACCTCGGCAATGTCGTTTGTGGGGATGGCAACTCCTCATCATAAGATGAGGAGCTATTGGAGGGAATGCTAGATTGAGGAATCCCAAATTTCTCCAACATTCCCTCCAACTTTCTCTCCTTTAACCTCGCCTCCACGACCCTTGCTAAATCCTCTGGGGGACCTCCGCAGTCTATGTAGGCCATGAGTTCCCCAGCAGAGAGGGTCGTGACAGCGGCTGCAACTGTCTCATCGCAGCAGGCGAGGGTGAAAGGAGAGATCTCACCAATCAAAAGTCCATCACCATCAACCACCGCAACAGAAGTTTGGTCAGCAAGGGAGCGAGAAATGGCTTCCACTGCTGATGAGGCTGGGGAGTCGTACTCAATAGCGCAAAAATCAGTACTAATTATGCCAAGCGTATCGATGGAGAGGGTGGGAATGGGTGAAAAAAAACCAATTGAGCTGAGGAGGAATCTGATCACATCTTCTTGGGTAAGCCAACAAAACTCAATGCCATTGTGAGTGGTGGGACTAATTGATGATTTTTGGAGGAGTTGTTTTCTTTTTGGGTTGTTTTTAATGTTGATCTTTATTGGAACCACAAGATTCTGAGCACCTTGGAGGATGAGATCAATGGCTTCTAACAAACTGCAAGTGCAAACAAAACAGAGGTTATGCCATTAAAACAATCAACATGTATGAATATAAATCAACTTAGATGTTAAATTCGACAGTAATCTTCCAAGAATTTGGAGAAATCTAAGCTCCCATGAACATAAAAAATAGAAATAAATAAAAATTAAGATTTTTGTACTATCAATTGGCTGAAAGTTGATTAAGAAAAAGAGGAAACGAATCACAGTGAATACTTCTTTATACCAAAAGCATATGCCAATAAGAGAGGCCTTTATCGGGGGTTACGAGGCCCCATATTCGACTTCGACCCCTAAATTGCTGATATGGCTCAAAAGAAAACATTTTCTAGGAACAGAGACCTTAAACACTTGCCGGAAGCTATAGTGTCAACTTTACGCGTTGACCGACTATGATCAAAATCTTTTAGGAGTCTAGCACTGATATTTTCGCTAATTGGATCCGCATGCGCGGGCATAGTACCATGAGGTTGCAATCGGGCCAATAATTCTCAATTTAATTTCCAGTCAAAGAATACTAAAAACAGACGTTTATTATTCAAGGGAATTAACAATACCTCCATTAATATTCATTGTGAAGTTGCAAAGATTAACCCAAAGGGTGAAATAATTATCAATTTAATTGACAGTCAAAGTTTAGAGAAAACAGAGGTTTAATATTCAAGTGAGTCAACAATACCTCCATTAATTAAGCTTACAATGCCCAAACCACACAAGTTATGGAAACCATTCCAGAAAGTAATAAACTTCACAAATAAGAAAATGGTGTATATATATATATACAGAGAGAGAGAGAGAGAGAGAGAGAGAGAGTTTGTTATCCATACCTCGAAGAGGGTTCCACGTGCCTCACCAGATCATGGGTCTTCGAGAGCAATACAGGCAGTGGCGATTTCAAAGCCAAGGATGGGGAAGAGAGGTTTTCTCCTTTGCAGAGATAGCAAATGACATCAACCATGCAAACTTTGCCAATACATAGACAGTGGTCATCAGAATCATAACTGTTCTTGGAGTGGTCACAGCTCCATACACTGATATGGGTGTCCTCGGAGGCTTTGAGGGCGGCCAAGGCATCGCCGACGGTGGCGGAGATAGAAAGAGACCTGAGTGGCGGTTTGCCGAGACAGATGTCAGCCACCTCATGGGTCAGCAACTGAACTGCCATGCAACACAGAGGGAATCTTTGGGTAGAAGGAAACTCGAAAATTTTGACGGAGGATGAAGAAAATGGTATGCAGAGAGAGAGAGAGAGAGAACGTGCGTGCTTGTGAGGTTGTGCTTGACTGTTTGGTGGTAAATTGTGTGTGAAATGCAGGAGGTATATATAAAGACTAAAGAAAGTTACATTACATCTACCTTCCGTAAAGAAAGTTACATCCAGAGAAGGGTAACACACAAAATTTGGCCACTTTTTTAAGCGACTTATTTTTTAAATGAATAAATTAAATTTAGTTAAAATAATAAATAAATTAAATTGCGTTAAAATTAATAGATAAATATATACACAATATAAACATAAATATAATTTATTAGACATAAATTAATAAATAAATAAAATATTTTTTTGATCCAAATCCACCGATCACTCGATACAAATCCAACTCAGCCAACATTGACATAGTTACACAGCAAGGGTGGGGTTATTAAATGTTTCGTTGTATTTTAGTGGAGAAAGGATAGTGGGGTCAAGGAAGACTAGGAGGGAAATGGGTCCCATGGCGATTGTTGACTGGTGGATAAAAAATTCCCAATATACAGGGATCTACCAACAGTGTTGCCGGAAGAATTAGGTACGTAAAACCCAAGTTGTTAGATCGTTGGTCAAAAAGTTGGGCCTATTGACACATGAAATATATACCACACCGTTGTATTATTAAGTAGTCAAGAGCATGCCGGATTAAAAGTTTCCCTGAAACACAAGACAAGAATTTAAGCAGCGGGAAGTATCCAAATCCAATGTGCACAAAAATAATAACATTCAAAAACATGCCAGTTTTTGATATAAATTGGCAGGCAAAATTGTACTCAGACGCGACCAAAATTTTCTGTGTCATGTTTTTTACAATGTCGTCAAGAAAACATGCTTTCATCAGAGAAGAGAAGATGACCACCGACATGGTTGGCTACCGACCCCTTCACTCCTTCCATATCTCAGCAAATTCATCAGGCTCCAAGGGATTTGAGAGTTCGTGCATCTTCCTCCTTGTCTTGGCTTTCACCTTCTTTGCAAACTTGCCCGCTTTCTGCCTTTTCTCCAATGCGCGAATCTGAAAGCATGCAATATGACGCATAAGTTATGATAGCATATTAAACCATCCATTGCAAAATTATGAATGTGCACTGTTACTAGACGTATCACATGGGATGCCACTGCCTAAAACACAAAAATGCCCATCAGTTGAATTAAGGAAACACTCTTGCGTCAGCCTAGCTCCCCTGGAAGATTGAAACATTTTCATAATTTACTCTTAAGAAGTTTAATAACAGACCAACAGAAAAATAACAGCAGTTAGGGGTCGCTTCCTGCCAGCAATGGACAGGATTCACCTTTCCCAACATGTGATATACCTAATGGTCAAGGCAAAAGTTGCTTTAAAATTTGTGGAAAATAGTGGGAGGGGTGGTATTTGATAAAACTGAGAGCTTAATACTGAAAATTGAATACTGAATTTTTTACTTCGTAGACTATTGGTATCTGGTTAAATTTAAATATTAAATTGAATGTGGTAGTGGTGGCGGCAGCACAATGGTGGTGGTGGTGGACGATGGGTATTGAAAAGTTAAGAATGTAAAATGCATTCAGGGTATATTTGTCCATTAAAAAGAATTTATAAAATCATTATTGACTAACATTTTCGGCATTAAGTAATAGATAGGTTGCTTGCTATTTAAAATTTTAGACTATTTTTAATAAGTGCTTAAAATATTAAATGGTACGAGCTTTAAAGGTTATCAAACGGGTTTAATTCATTAAGTGCTTAAAGTTCAATTTTAAGCATTAAGTACTGCTATCAACAGCCCTGAACTAAGCCTCTGAAACCAAGGTTAGCCAGAAAAAAAGATCTCCTACCTGGTTTGGCGAGACATAAAATGGATTCTCATATAATGTTGGGCCACCAAAGCTGCCACCAAAGATCTTTATCGGATTCAAACAGAATCTTGGACCAACCTATCCACAAGCACGAACGAGATTAATTCATTATAATATAATGGTAGATGTTAATGTGTACTAACAATGTATTACAGCAAACCTCAACAAGAGTCATCTTATCCAGGTCTCCTCGGTCTACTTTATTTGCACCAGTACGAGGACAAGATATCTGTTTTGAGAATACAAGAACACAATATCACCAAAAACAAATTGATAGCTAATTTAGTCAGTTGATAAACAAAGAGAAGACAGTATGGTATCAGAAAGATGAAATACAGAACTGACTCGAGAGTCCCAGTATCATATTACAACCGCTTTTGCAGCCAAGGAAAATAAATATTTGATTTTGAGAGGCAATTCATAAAATTCAGATAATCATCCACAGGTCATTTATAGCACATCAAAGGAACCTAGTTTCATTTTACAATATTGAGAGCCTACCTTTTCACCATGTCATCCACAGGTCCATAGTATAGAATAGCCCACAACACTTTAAAATCTTGTCAGACCAATGTTAAAATCAAAACAAAAACAAATCTCATTTCATATCAGCGTCAAACTGTTTTCAATCTACAGAAAACTCCTTCAAGAATTCATAATCAATGCCCTAAAATGGTTACATTAATGATTGTCCACAATAATCTAAAAACCACCCACCTTAAGCACTTTGCCCCTATTACGAAGATGAGTTCACTCAATCAACTCCATGGAAAAAGAAAAACCACTCACATTCAGTTTGTTAGATTAGAACTTTGAGGCAAAAAGTATACACATATTTTATCGACAAGCATGTGTCTTTACATATTTGTAAACAGCTATAAGTGCGCCTGTGTCCTGCGACACTTTTGGACATTAAAATCACATATATACTACACATGAACATGCACGAGTGGCATCAACTTTTGGCTCATGGTAAGTTCATGCTTCCATCAGTTGATGTATTCATATAAATATCAGATTTTATGTGGACTTTCGCTGACCTGGTAATTCCTGAACCAAATATGGTCATCAACAATTGAGAAAACAAATACGTGGTCATGATAAGGTTTAGACTTCCTGTGATCCTTGGGCGTTCCAAATATCTGCCAAAAAAGGAACAGAAATTTCAAAACAATGACAGTATAGCAAGCTTAGAACCTTTAGCAATCGCACATGGAGTCATCTATTGAACAAAATGATGTTTTGAGTGAAGACTCTATTTTTGGGATAATGGATTTCTACGATGGCGGGTAACATTGTTAGCCTAGGTCCATTCAATAGTTGAAATTGGAAAAAACACTACTGGTCTTCTCCATGCCAGTTTTAACTGTCAAAATTCTAATGCTGTAACAAGAGTCAAAGCTTCATGAGCTTTTCAAAACTGCATTACTTGTACGGGGGCTTTGCATGATGAAGAATCCAGAACAACACAGCCAAACCCAAAACACTAGCCCCAATCACATATGTTTAAACTTTTCCCTTGCAGGACATATAGATAAGATATGTGGAGTAATCTTCAGAAGATGACAATTGCTTTATCTAAGTTGTGCAAAACAAAATAAAAAATGTGGAAGTAAGAATAACACACCTGCATGATCATCTCTTTCAGAAGTTTCCAATGGGGATCCTTCTCAAAATTAGTTGAGAAAGTCAAAATAGGTCGTGTGCCTTTCAGATGATTTCCGGTAAGCTTCAGTTCTTCCATGGTGTGAACTTAAGTGACAAAAGAAATTTTAATAAGTAGGCCAGGTTTCACCAATCTTTGAAAAAAATGAATACATTATGCACATCGATAGATAAAAGAATAATTGCAGCTTGACAAAACTGGTGCAAATTTACAAAAGCTACAGGTTTGAGGCAAGTAAATCCCACAAACCCATATCATTATATCCCAAATAAAGTATTACCTGCATTAACTAGAAACTTCACAGACGGACCATTGGGGCACTTGGACATCCATAGGTAAAGGTCTTTCCCCTTCCGGCACTGAAATAAGAACGATAAAACGTACATGTGACCCTATGGAAACAGAATGACTAAAGCACCAATCTATCATCCTGCATTTAGAATTCCCACATGTTCTTATGCTTGAAAAATGATGGAGCTAATCTCGGTCATAAACGTCCAAAACTAACAGTAAAATGTTATAAAATGAAACCATAATTCAACCAGAAGGCAGAATCAGAGCTATATACAATCATTAAAAAAAAAAAGAAGAAGCAAAATTTACCTCAAAAAACAAACAAGATGAACAACTTTTTAACTCAACTAGCTCATTCAGGGTCGAGCCTTTACTTTGCTTGGACTCAACTTTGTTATCTTTCTTACAATGAGGCAAAAGAGAAACCAAGTTCAACATCAGGTGCCGATACCTAAATTTAACATTAATACCATTAGAAATAACATATGTATGAAATTCCCCGCATAGGGGCAAAAAAGTTAGATCACAGAAATAAAAAATCCACCTAAAGTTAATGCGGCGCGAACAAGTAACCAAGACCTTCTCGTTACTTCTAAAAACCGCAGGAGAATCATTAGATTCTTTTTCCCCTTCAGTCTTATCCTTCCATCCCAAAAGTGTCCGTTTAGCTCTCTCTGGAGCACTTTCATCTTTCTTTACATTGGCTACGACCTCAGTTTCACTGTGTTTCCGCTTCTTCCCCATTGAAATACAGGAATCTAAACACAAGACAAGCACAATTATAAGAACTAAGAAACCCATTTCAGAACAGACAAGTTAATACCCAATCTTCCAATAAATACAAGAAAAATTATAGGTAATTAGCTTCATACTCCACAAAACCTCAGAACATGGCCGGCTCAACAGTATATTCAAAAAAGCATGGGCTTTAAGCCCTACATATTAAAAAGGCCCCAAATTTTAGAGTTCAATAACGAGATATAGATCAATGATTAAAACTCATTATAATTTAGTTTAACAAAAAAACTCCTGCAACTCTCATCATATGATTTCAATTTCAGAAATAACAAAAGGAATTAAGACTCACACATAGACTGTCATACAGAAAGAGAGAGAGAGAGAACCTGGGATGCGTGTGGCTTGTGGCTTGTGGCTTGTGGCTCTGAAGAGAAGGCGGCGAGAGAGGCGAGAGTGTCTGAGATTCGNAGAGAGAGAGAGAGAGAACCTGGGATGCGCGTGGCTTGTGGCTCTGAAGAGAAGGCGGCGAGAGAGGCGAGAGTGTCTGAGATTCGAAGAGGAGTGAGGCGCTAGGGATCAATCGACTGGTGGTGGGTTTTACTATATTTTTTTAAAGGTAGAATTACACTTACATCCCTTAAAATTTGTCATTTAATCATTAAAATTCCCTAACATTTGAAATATTATACATAGACCCCTATATTTTGTGAGTATATAATAATTAGACCCCTTAATTTTAAAATATTATACTTAGACCAAAAATACTCCAATCAAATATCAAATATCAAATATTTTAAATTTTATAACAAAAATTTGTATTCTATTATATCATTTATTAAAATAAAATTAATTTTTTCTTAAAAAAATCGTAATTAGGATACAATTATATAATCTATAATAAAACTAAAAAAATCAAACAATGGGTCCAAGTTATTCATAATAGAACATGAATTTTACATCCAAAATTCATGTTCTATTATGTCATTTATTGAAATATAATCAAAAATAAAAATTTATTAAAAAAAAAACATAGTTAGTGTATAATTATATTGTCTATTAGAACAAAACTAAAAAATTAAACAAAGTATCAAACTGTAATAAACACAATATCTTTTATATTTAATTAGGATAGTTTGGTATTTTAATTTGGTCATATAAACGACTAAATTAAATTCTAATAGACAATATAATTGTATACTAATTACAATTTTTTAAGAAAAAATTGAATTTTTTTTTGAATTTTATTTTTATAAATGATACAATAAACACATGAATTTTAATTTTAAAATTTAAAAGATTTAATATTTTATCTTTAATTGAAGTATTTTTTTGTCTAAGTATCCGATGAAACTTGGAGAGAAGGGCATTCGGTTGAATTTGAATTTCAGCTAAACGGACAACGGAAAAAACNGGATTTTATTTTTATAAATGATACAATAAACACATGAATTTTAATTGTAAAATTTAAAAGATTTAATATTTTATCTTTAATTGAAGTATTTTTTTGTCTAAGTATCCAATGAAACTTAGAGAGAAGGGCATTCGGTTGAATTTGAATTTCAGCTAAACGGACAACGGAAAAAACTTTGGGAGGCCAAAACATTTGTTTCTAGGCCTTTTTGGACTTTTAACAACATCAATCACAACCTATGGCTATAAGTCTTGTAGGGTTCGCTGAGAGTTTCGATTTGATATATTATAAAACTCATTTTGAGTAACAAAACAAAAGTTACGGTCAAAATAGCGAGCAAGGAGCTGGGCGCTCGGTTTGGTCGAGCAGGCAACTTCTGGGCTCCGCGCCTGAGAGATGTTGGGTGCTTGGGTTGGGCACTTGAGAGGTGTTGGGCGCCTGGGTTAGACGTCTGAGAGGTGGTGGGCGTCACTCAAGTGGCGATTTTGTTGATCACGATAGAGGAGCGCTGTTTGGGGACAATCACAGGCAAGTCTTGTTTGCACTAGTTGTTAAGTGCGGGAGTGCTGCAGCAACGAGCTGAANGATTTGGTCGAGCAGGCAACTTCTGGGCTCCTAGGTTGGGCGCCTGAGAGATGTTAGGCGCCTGAGAGATGTTGGGTGCTTGGGTTGGGCACTTGAGAGGTGGTGGGCGTCACTCAAGTGGCGATTTTGTTGATCACGATAGAGGAGCGCTGTTTGGGGACAATCACAAGCAAGTCTTGTTTGCACTAGTTGTTAAGTGCGGGAGTGCTGCAGCAACGAGCTGAAGTGCCGGATGGATAAGGCATGTAAGTTACAAACGGCCTGAGTTTCAAAAGCGTGCCTAGAGATAACAAAAATAATGTTATTCCAACATCAAAAAATATATAATATGATTACCTAGAGAGAGAGCGCATGCTGCTTGTGTGAAAGTTGCACCTTTTGAGATCGAGCTTTCAGCGACCAATGAGAGAGCGCCTAAGCTAGAGGTATAGGCTACCTGCTTAAGAGCAGAGCAAAGGCCAAGCNGCGTGAGAACAAAGACAGAGTTTGAGGATTGCTCGTGTGAAAGCTGCACCTTTTGAGATCGAGCTTTCAGCGACCAATGAGAGAGCGCCTAAGCTGGAGGTATAGGCTACCTGCTTAAGAGCAGAACAAAGGCCAAGCTTTTGGCGACCTGCGAGAAAGCCGCTCAGTTGGAGATATAGGCTGCCTACTTAAAAGCATACATATGTCATGTTTTTGGTGACCCGCGAGAGAGCCGCTAAGTTGAATATATAAGCTACCTGCTTAAGAGCAGTACAGAGGTCAAGCTTTTGGTGACCCACGAGAGAGTCGCTAAGCCGAAGATATAGGCTGCTTGCTTAAGAGCAACGTAGAGACCAAGCTTTTGACTACCCGCGAGAGAGCCGTTAATCTGGAGATATATGCTTCCTACTTGAGAGCAGTNCTGCTTGCTTAAGAGCAACGTAGAGACCAAGCTTTTGACTACCCGCGAGAGAGCCGTTAATCTGGAGATATATGCTTCCTACTTGAGAGCAGTGCAGAGGCCAAGCTTTTGGCGACCAGCGAGAGAGCCGCAAAGCTGGATATATTGGTTGTCTGCTAGAAAGCAGTGTAGAGGCCAAGCTTTTAACAACCCGCGAGAGAGCCGCTAAGTTGGATATATAGGTTGTCTACTTGAGAGCAATGCAGAGGAAGGTCAATCTTTTGGTGATCCATGAGATGATTCACCTCGCCTGGACCTGTTGATTTCCTCAGCATTCATATATTTTTTAGTTTTTGCCAATAAGTTTGGCATGCCCTTTGGTGGTCGTTTCATTTTTGAAAAGAGAAAACTCGATGAGCGGAGGCCTCCCAAAAAGGCGCTCATGGGTGACTTTATCATTGGACTCCTCGATTTGGAGGATCTCCTCATTAAAATGAGTGATGTAACTCTTTAGGCTCTCTTCTCGATCTTGTGTTTACACTAAGCAGATGGATGACAGGCTTCTGCTGGTGGCGTCCACCAATGAATTGTGTCACAAATGATCTACTTAGTTCGGCGAAGGAGCCTATGGAGGCCGGAGTGAGTTTGGCGAACCATTGTTGCGCTGATCTCTTCAAGGTAGTTGGGAATGCCCTACACATAATTTCACTAGGGACGTTGTGCAGCTGCATTAAGGTCTTGTAGGTTTCTAGGTGATCAAATGAGTCATTTGTATCGTCGAAAGTTTCTATAGATGATATTTTGAACTTTTGGGGAAGATGGTAGTTTGCCACATATGGCACAAAAGGTGTGTCAGTTCTAGGGATGGTAGTGAACCGGAGAAAAACGGGTATTCGTCCAAACTCGTCCCCGTTTGAACCGGGAATGGACCATACGTATTGGACGGTGGACATATACGAAAATACCGATATAAACCCAAGCGGGGATGAAGGCAAGAATAGACTTACCCTTAACCCCACCCCGTCCCTGTTATATCAGCAGCGCCGCCCACTTACAGAGTTATCTTGTTTGTATAAAACTGGAAAATGCATATTCCTTTTTCCTGTGGAAAATAGCCTCTACTTGGGTATTGAGATTGACATAGTGAATAACTAATCCTTATTTCTTATTTATTCAATTAAGATACACATTTTTTGTTTCTTGACAGAAAGTTTCCTATATTTGGTATAAAAATTTATATTATTGCAAAATGATGGTATCCACAACGCTAGTACTACTACTTGAAATTATACATTCATTTTTTGTGAAGCATGTTTGGGTGGTATGATAATGTTCCTACAAATTCAGTTTTTCGTTGTCTTTTTTTTTCCCTTGCAAGCACGCAAATCAATTAAATTTAGCAAAGCTTTGAATGCCAATTACCTAGGATAGGCTATGATTAACCATCAAAATTGTTAATTTATTATATTTAATGATTGGTTAATTACATATTATTTGTGATTAAATGTGTTAAATTCCTTGATTTTTTAGTTTGATACTTTTTCTAGTTGTTTGGTTTATTTTGCAGGTAAATTGGTTGATTTAAAGTAATAATGGATAATGCAAGAGAATCAATCACTAGAAAAAGAATCACAATTGATAAGGATTGAAGAGCCAAGATTGAAATAGGAAGACTTGAAGATATGACAGCAATTTAATTCTTATAAGAGTCCAAGTTAGAAGAAAACTCATTTAGAGTTGGATTATGAAAGTATTTTAGAAGATAAAGATTTGACATATATTCAGTATTTTGGTCATAAATTTTGACTTTGATATCTGATTTACTTAATTTTTGAGGGTTGAAAATAAGACTTCAAGGGCTGCAAAAGTGTATTTCACGAATTTTTCGTGATTCAGCCTCTAAATATGCGAAATTCAAGCTTGAAGTCTGGACAGATTTTGTACCCGCGTCCCAAAGATTTTATACACGGAATTTAACCTTACAAGACTTCTTTTTTGGAAAAGAATTCATTTCAAACTGTACTTAGGATTTATTTTGAGTATAAATAGGGGTTCTTATTTAGAGATTTGGAGGATTCTTTTTTCTATCTTTTTTGTTTTGATTTTAGTTCGTCATATCTAGCTAGAAGGCTAGGGCTAGAGGAAAACCTCTCAATGAAGTACAGTAATGTTATTGATTCTGAGTTTAATGATTTATGATATTTTGTTAATTTAACTTCTGATTTTATAGCAAAATTTTTGCTCTGTAAAAATCCTTAAGTCGTTGTGTCATATACATCGATTGTTTGAATTTTCCTACGAATAAATAACTGGTTATTTCACGCTTGAGGTTATTATCATTATTTCATAAAATAATATACTTGGATGATTATTCAGGTTCCTGAATAATCTTTTGATTATATCTTTTGGTTTTCTTATTTGATTTGTTACTTGAATCAATCGACATCTGATTCTTGTCTCAAGTTAAGATTTAAGCCTTTAATCATTATTGTATGGAATTGAGAGGGTGTACTTGATGCTCTAATATTTTTTATATTACTGTTTTAATTATTTAAATTATTTTTTTCCACTCAACAATTTCCTAAATAAATAATTTATTTTTAA